TGGAGCGGCCCGATTCGAACTGCCTTCTCAGTGTTATGTTAAACAGTTAGAGGCCTGGGCTGCGTTTGCCTTAGATGCTGGGGAAGAGGGGACCTGGGGGCTCCTAGCATCGGAGCAGGGTCCCGTACAACCCGGGCCTCGGGGCCAGCACCTTTGGTTGCGCCTCAACTTTTGTGTCCCACCCACCTTCTCCCCAGTCGCTTGGGCTGGTGGGCAGTTCCGCGGGGCGAGGTGGGAGCCCGGGGCCCGGCCCGCAGCCCGCCGGAGGCCTGGCTGGGATGGGCATAGATTCCACCACCTTATGCTAATTGGATCGTGTTTCCCCAGAGTGGTGCCCTTTCAACCGCCGGGCGAATACTAAATGCTGAATGCGAGGGGGCTGGTTGTGAAACACCTGGAAGTAAATCAAAAGTACTAACCCAGGTATCAGAATGGAAGTTGGCATCCTTGGAGGGAAATTAAATGGAGCAGCAAAGATGTTCTAAGCTCCCAAGGGAAATAACCCATTATTCACGTTTGTTCATTTCATGAATTTTATGTAAATGCCAAGGGATGGTGTCAGATGGGCATAAAACTAAAGTTGTGGAGTAGCTAGAATGCTCCGGGAGGACCCAGTATGCAAAATGTGGTGTCCATGCTGAAGTTGGAATAGAAGCGAGGAATAGGGTAAAGTGGAAACTAAATTAAATTTTAAGAAGCCAGTTTGCCAGAGAATGATGAGGAAAATCGAAGTTCAATGAGGTGTTGACTTTTGCATCTTAAACTTCGCTCCCCGAAGCTTTGCAGTTGTTTTACTCTACCATCTCTGGCTACTTGTGAGAATTTTCGAGGTTTGAGGCAGCTTCTGGCTTCATTGTTTAGAAAGAAAATGTCACTGTTGCTATAAATAGCATGTTTGCTATTTCTTAATTTATGGTTTAGAGAAGAATCTGAAGGTACCAACCTTTCATTAGGGTAAACTGAGCCAGGCTGATTCACAATAAGGAACAAAAGGATGCCCTAGCTGGTTTGGCTCTGTGGGTAGAGTGTGGGCCCTGGACTGAAGTGTCACAGGTTCGATTCCAGTTCCATTCTGGCCTAGCGGGGGCGAGAGTGCTGGAGCAACCGATCGATGTTTCTCTCTCTCTCTGTGTCTCCCCTTCCCTTCCACTCTCTCTAAAAAAAAAATCAATGGAAAAGATATCCTCGGGTGAGCATTAACAACAACAACAACAAAGAACATAAAGAACCCAGAAACTCCCAGTTCCCGCTTCCCCCTCAGATTGAAACAAAGCCCTAACAGCTTGGGGGAATTTTGCTTGATTTATTTTTAAAGCAGCTAGTATCTACTCATGTTAATAGGTGTCTTGGCAGGATGGTATTTGAGTAGGAAAACCACAGTGGGGGATAGTGTTATCGTGGAAAACCCATGGGACCAGTGTCTGGAAATGAATGTTTTAATTCTTGCTCTGCCACTAACTCATCAGTGTGGCCTTGGCTAAGTGACTGAACCTCACTGGGGTTCATTTTCCTCATTAATAAAATGTGTGGATTATATCAGGTAATCTCTAAATCACAGCTCCAAAACTCTGTGGTAGTAATTTCAAAGGAAACGTGATGAGCTTTTGAAAAGAAAATTACCAAATTTTTTGATAGACATTTCCCATAAAAGGCCTCTCACCTGTTTTGGGAGGGATGGAGGGATACACTAGGATACTGGAAGAAGCCTGATAATTGAAGTTTTTTCCTTATAAGGAATTTCACAGAAGAGCCATGTAGAATTGTACAGTAGTGGAATTTCTTAGGAACTACAAGCTTGTTTGTAATACACAGAAGAGAGTTGTTACACAAAGGCCATCTCAAAGAATACCTTTCTCGTAGTTGTAGCTCCTGATAGAAGTTCCATTTTGGTAAGTGATGTGGGAGTTTTATCATTTAGAATGGGTGTGGGGGTATTTTTAAGGTGAGGGGGAAGAAGAGGAGAGAGGCTTTCTGCCAAGTACCCTACAATTAGAGAGAGCTGCAGGGGAGGCCACCTCAGTACTTCAAGGA